ATCCACAGTAATTTTTATGACCGTCTGAAGTTAAAATTTTGACAAAATCCATCAAAATCACGAAAATTTGCAAATTATTTTGAGTTAGAAATTCATAAAAATGTTTTTATTTCTATCTAAGCTTTGAAAATTTAACATAAGATTCCCTTTAAGTTTTCCTACATTCAAACAACAAAAAGTTAACCTGTAAGTCAAATTAATTTTTATGAGCTTTTGATGCTAGACATTATTGGAAATTCACCTGTAAATTAAAAAAATATTCTCATTCAACGATTTTATTATTTGGTCGTTAATCAAAAACTATTAACTGTAAGTACTTGAAATTTTCATCAAATGTTTATTTTCTCATTTTCTGTACAAGATAAAATGTTCAAAATATTTCGACTGGTTTTGAGTTAATTATAGAAATATTTTTATTTTTTTTAGTTTTTTATTCTATAAAATATGTCAATAATCATTGGTTTAAAATTTAACAACATCCATTACAGTGACCCAATTATAACCTACTGTACAGCAGAGTGACTTCCAATTACCGGCTTATTTGTATCGTAAGTACTGTGAAATATGATTTTTGAACTCTTCAATTTTGTAGAAAGTAATTTATATTTATGACGTTTACACATTTTAATAGTACCTATACGGCTATACACATTGTACTCTCATCGAATGTTGAGAATCCATGTATGACTGTTGGACATACCTTGCGTTCCGTAACCCCACCACAAACTATTCGATTTTGATGTTCACGATATGATTCTAGGTCAAAAATGTATCGATACCCTTGACACTCCCTAGTCCTGATGTTCAAGTCTTCTATTGTATACAATCTTATGACTTTTGTCTTTTAATATAGATGTAAGTAAACAATTAAATATTTTGATTGAGCGTTATCGCTAAGTTGTGGTACCTATTGATACTATTTATTTTATATATTGATATAATGATATACTCAATCAAGATTCAAAATGTATTGATAAATTGATTATAATAAAATGCATAAGTTATTATAACAAAGTTATTTATTCTTACAGAAAATATATTTAATTTGATTGATTAATAATATTTGATAACTTATATTCATCGGTTTATAATGCTTAGATTACCTATACATGATATACATCATATTATAATATTTATAATTTATACTTTATATGTATCTACTAATACCTAGAATATTTAAGTTTTATACACAATTATACAATGTATACCTATAGGATTTGCTGAGTTTTTATAAATGTCAGGTGTGGCATCCTTACGTGACGTAGGCGGAAAGTACACACACAAACGACCAACGTATATATTTTATCAGTTTGTCTTTACGAATATAATATAAATAATATGAAAATTACTGTGTTATACCATGTTACGAGTGCATAACTATATTATTTTCATACTGCAGTAATAATTTATATATAGTTAGGTATGCACTCGTAATTGACTCATGGATTTTAATTTGAGTCTGAAATATTGTAGGACATATATATTATTTATTTATACATAATATATTGGTATTCATTTTATAAAATCAATGATATATAGATAAAAACAATAATTAAACTATACACCCCAAGAACCATAGCCCAGGTGTCAGCTTTGTAGTTGTTATGCCTATACCTACAAGCAACGGCGCATAGCTATTTACGCTATTATTTTGGCTTCAGTCTGTTTAGCACTTTAGCTCCTACACCCCGCCGAACAGTCTCAGCCATCATTACTTAGTAATATCGTAAAGCCCTAACGGACAATGGCCATTAAACTTTTTATTTATATTGTTTTAGTTCCACAGTATGTTGTATAAGTATATTCGTATTAGAATAAGTGTACAGTGTACTACTATAAAGGCTTGACTTTCGATGGATCATCAGTCATCACTGGCTCGCAATCTTATCGCATTAAAACTTTTTTTTCTATAACATAATATTGGCCATTATTTAGGCTAACATATTATATAATACAAATAGTTCAGTTAAAAAGTAAATTTTTCAGATTTTGTGATACGATGCACCCATAATATTACATAGGTATGTACCATAACAAATAACAATATTAGTACTTATCTATTGGATATTGTCATATTGATTAGCTTTACTTATAATTGTCTATTGAGTATAGGAACTTTAAAAAAGTATATGTCACCTATTATGTGGGGAAATATTCATGGTTTCAGGGTCCTTATAATTAATTATTATGCATAATGGATTTACATTTTTTTTCATATATTTTATATAGTTTCCTACCTATATGTTTGTACTTTTATTGCATAACATTTTGTATCTTTTAAAAATTAAAGTAGGTATAACAATTTAACCTATAGTTGTATAATATATTACAACCAGTAATTAGTAATTACCAAATGGAAAATTGTCATATAGATAACGCTTTTAACTATTTACCTGAGTGTTTATTAATATTAAGCATATTTCGTAAAACATTTTTTATTAGACATTAGGTACCGTAGATTTTTATTTATAACATTATGTAGCTTTATATAGCTAGGGATGTAGCGTATGTAGTATGTACTTGAGTCCTGAGTATTTAAACATATTTTCATCGAGTAAAGTTATGTTATGCTCTGCGTTTTAAAAATGCACTCACAAACAAATATTAAGTGGTATTTGGCAACATGCCTAAATAGTAAATTATATCGAAAAAGATATTTTTGTTTTATTTTCATTGGACTAATGTTCGTTTATGTATTTTTTTTATAAGATTTTTAATATACTTTTACAATTATTATAGTTGTACGCATTAGTGTAAGACTATGTATCGTCCTACGTAGTTATATAATAGTGGTGGTATACATGGGGGGATGGGGTGCTAAAAGTATGTTATTTTAATAGGGAGCCATTTTTTAAAGGAGAACAATTATAATGTGGTAATTAGTCTCTAGTTTTATATATTATTGATAAGTTGAATGAATTGTTTCGCCAGTGATTTTAACTAGAGAGCCTTTATATAATATTATCTAGGCTCTCTAGTTTTAACTTATAAGTTATAAGTATTAGGTAGCTATATTTGTACATGGGTAGTCTCATAGATTATGAAATGTTTCAGATACAGAATATAGAAGTCATAGAAATCTAATATGGTTACTTATCAATCACCCACGAGATAAACCATAATTTATTGGTCCATGTATAGTGATTTATTATCATCACGATAAAGATATATCTTTAAACGTGTTATACATATTGTAGCATTGATTATGAATACTTACTATACTAGTATTTATAATTAATGATATAGATATTATATTGATTTCATTGAACATCAGAGGGTTGAGTTGTGACAAATTGCCGCTTCGCCTCCCAGGTCTGTCCATTACTGCCAGATGTAGGTACCTTCATTTTAGGATATGAACAATATTTATATTTTTGTCATCAAGATAAGTAGGAACCTTTTAAACTAAATATTTATTATAGTAAATATCATTCAGGAAAATATTTATGTGGTGTCATAAAAATGATTTTGACCATTTGATAGGCCCCTATAAAAAAATCGTAATTGTTCGAACGATCAACGATGTATCATAATTTAGCTGGCATGTAGGCATGTGCGACTTGTCACTTGTACAATTGGATGGTGATATTTTGGTTGATCTGAAGATGAATTTCTACGAGTATAATATTATAATAGGTATGACTGCAGCTAACCATCATCGTGACCATACTTAATATTATTATGGGACGTTACCAACATTCAGCAATGGCCAATATTGTAATGTTTTAATGAATATTTATTTCCGATCGCCATCGTATAATAAGGCTTTACGGTTTATAATATATTATTATTACCTATTATTTCATAATATAATCGTTTTAACATAAACGACGAGTGACGTCGATGGACGCGATGACGTGCGGATGAGGTATCTACCTACCTATTTATACGTATATTATTCTAAATTCGTACACACGACGACGTTGCCACAATGAATCACTATAAAATCATCATAACGATAATAATAATGATAGTAAATAGTAGGAAATAATAATAATAATAGTAATAGTAGTAATAATAATAATAATAATAATAATAATAATAATAGTTATAGTAGTAGTAATAATAATAATAATAATAATAATAATATAGCAATAATAATAATAATAATAATAATAATGATAATAATAATAATAGTAATAATAATAATAATAATAATAATAATAACAACAACATCAACAACAACAACATAACAACCGGGTTAAATATTACCGTACCGGTCGCCCGCCGCCCGGTATTATTGTGCTGGTCGCACGGTATTTATTGGTATTGTTTTAGAGATTTTGGGCCGGGGGGGAGGACTCAACTGTGGATCCATCGCGAAAGGACGTGATAAACCATGATTACGTTATCATATTTATTGTTGATCTCGAGTAGACTCACGTCGTGTCGTTACGTTACCATTGGCAAACCGCGGCAGTGAGTTTTCTAATTTGTGGCGTCTGCGATGTGCTTTCGTCGGCACCGTTAACCGACAAAATCTTGCCGCTGGACACGTCCGATAGCCGTACCCTACCTTGGAGGTCGCCGGACGGATTTTTCGTAATGTGTCGCGTGCCTTGTCCCGAATCGTCCGACGGCGAAAAGACAGGTCGAGCGTACAGCAACAATAACCGTCGCCCCGGAACATTCTAGGGCACTCGGCGGCGAAGGCACGGTGACCGCCATCACTATTGTTCGTCACTGGTGAGTGCAATATGACATTGTCCGTGTTTTTTAACGAAATGGTTTACACCACAGACCTTACACCCTCTACCTTACACTGGGTAGCAGTGTAAGGGTCTTTCTGTGCCGTGCAATGACTAAATAATTAATAGTCATCTGGCCATGTGCCTTAGCACTCGGCGGCTGTCTGTGGAGGACGCGTTCTTTGCTGACAAGTCTGCGGAAGAGTGATACAATAACTCGATATCATTTTTACTCGTTGGATTTCTGTTTGCAATCCACAAACACTCAACAAACTGACCATTATCGTGTTTGTTTTCAGAAACTCTGATACTATGCCTTTAAAACTATTGCGTATAAAAAAGAGTCGACAGTACAATGTCGTCTCCAAATCTCTGTATGTGATTTGTGTCGAACTCCTGGACAGCACGTCCATAGAATGTACCCTATCGGCAGAGAGCGTCGGTCAAGAATGCCTAGACAGTGTATGCCAGAGACTCGGATTACATCAGGTAATTGTTTACACTTTACTTAATGTAACCTATTGGATTTTGTTATTTTAACGTGTTTTTAATTTGTTTATAGCCGGAGATTCTTGGGTTGCGGTACATATCTCGGGCTAGAAATCCACGATGGGTTGATTTGAGTCGACCATTAAAAAGGCAATTGGACAAATACGCAAGTCATTTTAGCCTGTATTTGAGAGTCATGTACTATATTACTAATGTATCTTTCATAAAGGACGAAATGACTAGGTTAGTATTTAATTTACATATTCTTAATACAATATTGTACGTTGTATGAAATTAAATAGCACCTATAGTTGAATAGTATGAAAGTCCTCTTTGTATGACTATTGTTACCTAATTGTAAAGGATTTTTATACTTTATGACCTGTTAACTTTCAACTATCAATACACAGCATACAATTTTGGTTCATTTGTATTTTGTATGACATCCTCAGTCTATATTTTTTAAATATATACTAAAAATTGTTTAGGTACTGTGTTAACCCTTTGGTGAGCATTGACATATTATATAATATATAATATACGTTTTAATTTTCATGTTCTATTTTTATTTTATAGGGTTTTACCTTATAAACAATATAAACCATTCAGGACGTATTTATACATTATCGATAAAAATATGGTGATAAAAGCAAAACCTAAAAATACGGTGATGTGCCGAAATTAATAACTTTTTTTTTTAATTTTCCATTCCAAATTGATTTTGGGTATTCTTAATTCACTCATCAGTGGGTTAATGGTCATAAATTATAATAATATGTGTGTTATTTTTATTATTATTTTTAAGTTATAATTAAATATATTATTGGTTAGCAATAAGAATACAAAATGGAAATCATAAAATAATTATAAATTAAATCAAATAAAGAGAGTATAAAATAGGTATAGTTTAACCTTAAAACTATCTGAGCAAAGCAGATCCAACAATATTATTATAAACATAGATTTGTTGTTTGTTTTTTATTTGTTACTAGTCGAGGTACTAGTGCAATTTCATAGGTGTACATTTGTGTTGAAACCACGTTAGACATAATATTAACTATTTACATTATCCATCTAGACTTTATTTTTATTTATATTTTTAGGTAGGGATAACATTTTGAATTTGGATATTGTTATATATTGGCAGGGCCGGATTGGTTAGGCGAGCTACCGAGAAAATTTCTGTGGGCCGGTCGTGTGAGTGAAAAATATTCATGTTTAAAATACGATTGGTGACCTATCAGCTCGAAATAATTCTAGACGTAATTTTGAGACACTGAATATTTAAATGGGCAGCGTAAAATTGAAAATCTTGATGGGCCGATACATACCATTCCGGCGCTGTATATCGGTATCAGTGAATTTTTAGGATTTTTAATGTAGTTGGTTAGGTAAAAAATCTGTGCTCACTTAACATATAATATGATTAACCAGAATAAATATGCAATAGTATACAAATCCGCACTCTACTTCTAATATTTTATTATATTTTAGGACCAGTAGAAAAGTTGAAAATTGTTATTTCAAGTCTACTACAAGTTTAAACTAAATCAATAGAAACTAGGTAGTTTAAACTAAAGTTAATGTATGTTTAATAACTATTGTGTATTATTAATATCTTATGAAAGACAAGTAGGAATGTTATTAAATAGATGAAAATGGTCTGAAATATAAATTTAAATAAAACATTTTACATATAAAAAAAAATCTTGGTCTTAGTTTAATTAATTAGTTTTAATTTTAATGATTATTTAGTTACACATTGCCTATTATTAACTCTAATTTCATCAAATATATTTTGATTCTAATTATTATTTATCTGTGTTTGATAAATAAAATTTATATTTTTATAATTGTTTATTTATAATTCTATATTATACGATATGACGTTATGTATTATAATGTATAAGCTTTTCAATAGTTATTTTTTTATGGTAGTAACTAGTAGAAATAAACAACAATGTACAACAAATATTGTATTATTCAGATAAAATTATTTGTATTTATATACAGCCATTTCATATTTAGGTACTTGTAAGTTGTAGTTCAATACACTTGAAATAATAAGATTATCAGTAATGTTATTTATTAAACATGCACTTTAAAAATATTAAATGTTTCTCACTGTAAAGATAATTAATACCATGAGCTCTAATTAATTTATAAATTTAGACTCAAATCCAAATTAATAATCAAATAATATGCATTAATAGTTTTGAAATTTGATTTTATCATTCCATCTGAACATAAAGAATTCACATCTATATCAGATAGATTTATAACTTTTATTTCATTGGTACCTCTATAGGATAAATAGTTGACAAATATTTTTTTAAATATATTTTCATTATAATTTAATGCTTGAATGGAAATTGGAAAGTAACTAATCAATATTTAGTATGTATATAAATGTTACTGGCAATTTACACTGTACCTGGTCAATTTGGTCTTGCCTGGGCAATTTTAATAGTAAATAAAAACAAATTATTTTTTGTGCAATATTTTCTATTAATTTTATTGTTTCTAATAAATAACTATATAATATTGATGGGAAAACCAAAATAAAATTATTAACTTATTATTACCCATTTAATATTCTGAATATTTTAAAACAATTATTATAATAATGATAATAATTATATATCTAATATTGATTGCTAGCAAAACTATTAGAAATAAATAAATGAATTTTTTGCTTATTATATTAAGATTATTTAGAATTTTATTGTTACTTATTTATTTGTGCATGGTTTATTATAGTGGCACTTACAATTGTAAAGTCTGTCTGCTTTCCTACACTTGCATTTACTTATTTTGCAAAGCTGCTTTGAGGTATATCGGTCATCCGTAAATATTAGGTTTATAATATTATTATTATCATTATTATATTTGTTTTAAAAAATTCAGTATATAATAATTAGGTATTAAAATATAATTATAATTAGGGATGGGCTGATACAAGAACCAATACCTGATTTTGGTATATAATATTTTTTTTGTTTTTTTCATCAACATTATGTAATTATTAGTAATAATAGATAGAAAAAAAATACTGCACCAAAAATAATTGATTTATATTCGTGGTTAAAATGCTCGGACGGGAACAAATTTACTGGGCATGTGTACATTGCCCGTAATATATACATTAGGTATAAAATATATTAAGTATAAAGAGTAAAAATATGTTATAAATTTATAATTAAATAATAATAAAAAAAAGGTTGATTATGTTTGATATTTAGAAATTGTAGATTTTCACTTTAAATTATATTTATAAAACTATAATATATATATTATTATATTACAAATTTAATCAAATTTGTAATATTAATATGCTCTTAGCAATTCTTGTGGAAAGCATAAATTAGTTTTTATCTTTTCATAACCTGGAACACTCATATATTAGTCTCGGTCTTTAGCATGACTGTTAATAATTCATGGTGTCATTTAAAAGTGTTAATGAACTAATGTTGTACTGAACAGTTTCAAGATTTTAAAATTGTTTAATTATCATGCTTTATGGTTTTTATCATTTTTAACATACTGGTACCTAATACCTATATTTATTTTATAAGTTGCATTGCTAGTAATAATTTTTCTTAATAATTAACTCAGCCAGTGGCGTCATTTGGGGGGTTGGCAACTGGGGCGTTTGCCCCAGTCTAGTATTTACATCAACCTTAAGTCTGCACAATTACCATCCCCCCTTCCACTATGGCACTATGCTATGAGAATCTGAGTGAAAAAAATTTTGAGTAGAAAAAGCAGAGAAAAGTTGACCTAGTATAATAAAAACTGAAATGACGCCATTGAACTCAGCACTTGATCTATTTTTCTTTTTTTTCTTTTTTCTTTAAATATAGTTACAATACACACATAACGAGACTGACATATTGGGAGAGCACTCACTCAGTAGTGCCACCTGATAGATTTAGTACTTGATATACAGGGTGTCCCGTGAGGATTTACTCATTAGCCGTAGAGGGGGACTCGCCGCCCGGACAAAAACCAGTTTATTGACGTTTTACTAATAAACTAAAAAAATTATTAAAAATCATGAGATTAATGAAAATAAAATGTTAAAAGCTCAAAATGTTCACAAAAATATACTCTATAGAATGGCTATCTTCAATTTTTTCAAAAATAAAAAAATAATTTTTTTAACTTTTTACTAAAAAATTTAATTTAATTAAAAAATAAAATATTTGTAGTGCTTACCTCTGCGAGTCTTAATAAAAAAACATAATTACGATATCTCCATTATTTTAGGAGATATCGCAATAAGTAAATCCTCACGGGACACCCTGTATAAATCAAATTTGTTTATAACAATTTTAAACTGATATTTATTGTAATTTTATATCAGTTGTACATATGTTAGTTATGTAATTTTGTGAATACTAAATAAAAATAAAACAATAATCTAAAATGGTAGGAATACAAAATACATAGGTCAGGCGAACATGTTCCACTCTCCCTATAAAAATAATTTTTGCGAAATATGAATATTAATTTCAATAAATGCATATGTCATTTGATTAGTTTATAGTTTTGTACTCATCTAGTTGCAATAGTCTAATTACTAATGTTTTTTTTATATTTTACCTGAGCAATTTGAATAAGTGGAATAAAAATTTGCTGTGTTAGTAATTATTAGGGCTCTGATTAAAATACTCTAAAAACATAAAAAAAATGAATTTATGACCTAAAAACTTTTAAAAAAATGCTTTAAAAATATGAAAAAATGCATTTAACATGTAAAATTGTGTAGGAACGTTTATAAATATAAAAAGATGAGCCAAAAATTAAATTTGACAAATTATATTTGTATTACACTGTAGTAATATACTACACTTTAATACTCCTATAAAAGTTGTATACAATGAAATTGGCTAATTGGTTGTAGTGACACTAAGATACATTTCAGTCTTGTCTAATTTAAAACCAGATTACCTGATGTTATATAGTTCAAATGAAAATTATTTATATTATGAAGTAGGTGGGTACTATGTATTTGTTTATCGTGTATATTTCAATGAAGTCAATTTTTTTATTCATAATACGAGAAATTTAATAGTCCATTAATTAATAAATGTAAAAAATGCCCCAAAAAGTATAAAATCTGTTAAAAATGCGAAAAATTCCACCAAAAAATATTGTTGTTACAAGCAGTGTAACTTACAAGTAATAAAAAAAAGAAGATGTAAATGCATTGAATTCCAATCCCTAGTAATTATCATATGTATTGACTTATTTTATTTTTATCCATAGCTTTAAAAACTTATAAAAAAATAAATATATTTATACATATTATATATTTTATATGCATATTATGTTTGAAATGAAGAAATGTATCTTTATATAGTATGTCTACTGTTTTTAACTTGTAGTAAATCATTTTACTGATAACTATTTATTATATTAAGTATAATATATATGCTTACATTTTTAATTATTTCATGGCTATAATGTTTAGGTATCATTTTTTTCTTCAATTGAAAATGGATGTTATTGAAGGTCGTATTCTGTGTGATGCTGATCAAGCAGTATTACTTGCTAGTTATAGCATGCAAGGTAGTAAAAACATACAAGACAAACATTAATCACTTACAATAAAAAATGCAATATACACAATTGAATTTATACATTTTTTTTTCAAATATAAATAGCCGAGTTTGGGGATCATGATTTAGAAAAACATACATCTGAATATCTCAAAGATTTTCAACTTTTTCCAAAGGTACGAATTTTAGCTAAAAACTTTATATTTTTTATTTGCTTAGTCAATTAATTTTACTAAATAAGTTAAAATTATAAATGTTAAAAGTGTTCTGGAATTTATTACTTAGGTTAAACTGATTAAATTTTGTTTTGTTAATATGTAGCAACTAATAGCAATACAAGGGCGTCTGGAAAGTCTCACAGAAGCTGTTATCTGCCAACATTTGGCTTTAGCAGGCTTACCTCAAGGGACTGCTGAAGAGTACTATATTATTGCAGCACAACAACTAGAAGGATATGGACAGGAAAAATTTCTAGCTAAAGTATATTACAAAATATATATTATTCATATTATTTGAATTCAGTAATGGTTTATTTTTGATTAATGTTTTAATATAAACTATTTTATGGTAATTTAGGATGATAATTCTGCTGAAGTGACTCTTGCAGTTAGTCTCAGAGGTGTAACAATTCAAAACCAAAATAGAAATAAAACATTTCACACGTGAGCGTTCAGTATTTTTTTATATATAATATTCAATATAATAAATTGTCATTACTGTTATTTTTATTAGATGGGAGGATATAGCAAATGTTATAAATCATAAACGGTATTTTAGCATAGAAGGACAGCATGAGAATTTTATACAATTTCAGTTTAATGATGTTGAAACTGCTAAATATGTTTGGAACATGTGTGTTTTGCAGGTAAACTATTATTTTTAAGTAAAACTATCATTGTTCATTCATTTGTGTGAAGTTGTTTTTTTACTAATTATTGTTATTATATGTTTATAATTTAGCACATGTTTTATGGGCTACATGAAAAAATTGATCAAACCGGTGACAACAAGGCTGACATAATGAGAAAAAATTTAAAATCTCATTTTGACGTAAGCAGTTAGAAATATTATACATATAAGAGAAATTGATGTATTAACAATCATATAAATATTTGTATTCTAGAATAATATAGAGAGCAGTAGAGAAGAATTAGATACCGTTGACGCTAAAGAATCAGGCATGATAAGAGGTTCATTTCCATTTAATGGAGTTCGTGCTCAATCAACATCTTGTTTAGATTTGTCCTCTTCACAAGCAAGTGAAAAAGCACGATTGGAAAAAAATGGACACAAATCTATGTAAGTAAAGAAAAATTATAATGATGATTTTGTTATAGAATTTATAATTACATTTAAATTATAGAGTTATAAAGTATATGTTTACATTTTTAACAGATCTAAATTGCCATCATACAGATTGGCCCCAGATTATGAAACTGCTGTTCAACGTAAATATTCGCAAGGAGACTATTACAATCCTACTCCAAATTTAATTCCTACAACCTCTATAAGTCATCAAAATATAAATCTTCATCAGGTAAGATTGTATAGCAAAATGTTTGGGCATATTTAATTAAATTAACCTTTATTTTTTTGTGTTGGAGATGTCTAAGACTGACCAACAGTATTTGTGAATACACATTTAAACATTAGGGTTTTAATAATTCAATTTTAAAATATCTACTATTTCTAATTATGTGATTATTGTAATATTACTAAATGTAATATTATCATTGATTATAATTTATAAATATTATTATGAACTATAATTGTGTAAATGAAGAAAAACATAAAAAGGAATATAAATTGGCATTCGGCGTGCAGAGAATTTTATTACACAATGTAATGGCCAAATTCGATCGGCCTGCGAGCTTTTTGTATTTTATGTTTATATAACTACCTATATAAACGTTTTCTAAACACTATAAAATCTTTAAAATATTTTATCTCACGTTGAGCTATTTATAGGAATATGCAGTTTTTGCATGGTCAAAAAACTTGTAAATGGAATACAATAGGTTCTTTCTTGTAAGTTGTTGGTGGAAATAAAAAAAAAATGAGCGTAAATCTACAATAATTCAAAAATTCACAAAAATTCACAAATTATTTTGATTTGGGAATTCATTAAAAATGGTCTTTTTATATCTAAGATTTGTAAATTGAATACAAGATTCCTCATAAGTTTGTCTCCCTTTATAAAAAAAAAGTTACTGGAAAGTCAAATTTAATTTTTATGAGTGTTTGACGTTACATTTTTTATAAAATTGGATATTCTCTCCATTTCTCATGGAGCAATTTTCTTATCAGATTAAAAACGAACAACCATAGATACTTGAAATTTACACCATGTGTTTATTTTCTATACAAAATGTTCAAAATATTAAAATGTTAATATGCTGTTTCCTACTTTTTTTTTCTTTAAATATCAATACAATTTTATTTGTTGGATTGAAAATCTAGACAATTTAATTCAAGGCTCCTCACACATTGTTACAATATCAGTTTAAAAATATTCAAAATACATATGCAAGACTTTATATTTTATTATTTTTTTTATTGATTGTTGAGCCCAGTAATTAAGGCCATTAGCTATTTTTGTTTTAAGACTTTATTTTATAAGCATTTAAAGTTCAAATTTCCACAAAATGTATCATATTGAAAATGTGCAAATTATTTCGCAGTTAAAAACGCATAAAATGTCCAATTTTTATAGCCAAGGATTGAAAATTGAAAATAAGGTTCCACTTAAGTAGTTCATACTGTAACCAAAAAAGATCTAAAAATTATATAAAGTTTTTTATAGTTATTTAAAGTTCAAGTTTGGACGAAATTAGATATTTAGAAAAACGATTTTATTTTTGTGTTGTAATTTGAAAATATTATTCGTGTATTATATACAAGTAATATAATTCAACTTACCAACTACCTTATTGCAGGGTTGCCATTTCAGTTTTAAAATAGGGCTGCCCATTTTTTTTACCAGGCCTCAGTTTTCTACCATCAGGCCACAGTTATAACAAGGAAAATTGAAATGTAGCTATGTTGGAGTTATTTCTAACCTTACTATTAGGGATGAAAAATAATTAATATTTTAAGTGATAACACTATTAAAGTATAATATCATTATTCATGAATATACATTTTCTTTCTATAACTTTAATATCTTAGTATATCCCTTTATTTATAAAATATTTTTATCTTGTATTAGTTATTTCAATTAATTCAATTTATCTGATACATATGGCATCGGTGCCAGCATGAAATTAAGGCAGGCAAATATGATACAGCGAAAAATAGGGCCGCCAATGTATACCCTGCGATACCCCAAATGGTACCTCTGCCGTATTAATAATAATATAAAATATCCTTAGCTGACAAACCGTCTCTGCTCAGAATCGTATTTCGTATACAATGATATCATATCATTGAATTCAAATTTAACACCATCTATTTCAGTGATTCACTGTAACATACTCTAGGTACAGCAGAGTGACACCTACTTATCTGCTTTTTGAATTTGGAGTCCACACCCTGCCCATTCATTTTTGGTAGCGCCGGCCCTGTACATAAAAGTTCATATTTATTAACAATCCTAAATTTTTTGTGTTGTTTTTACATTGGCTGTTTCTAATAATAATAATACATTCTATGTTTCAATTAGTGTGGTCATAAAATGTCAGTAATTTTTGATATACGAAGAATGGTTAACTTGTAGGTCAAAGGTTTTTTTATTTGCCAAATTGAAATATATTAAGAAATGTTCCAATAATCATAGTTTATGCTATCGATCATATTATTTATTAATCAGATCACTAAAGCTACTATATATGATCATAAATTAATAATTATAATACTTATATTTGTTATTATAAAGTAGTATATTACTATTTATCATTTTTGAAAGTAATTTAACCATCTAACCAGACAGGCATTTTTAATTATAGTTATCATTTTACCATAATGGATTCAATAGTATAATCATAAATAATATGTCTATTAGAATCTATAGTATTATAATAATAATATAAAATAAATTTGATTCTATATTTTGCTTACAATAAGCATGCTTAACTTTTTTGTTCAGTCATTCAGACATAACATATTAATTAATTTCTCTTTCTAAAGTAATAGGTATACCGTGGGGTAGGTTGTTCTTATAATGAAACTAACTTGTGGGTTTTTTAAATTGATACAAAAGAAATACACCAATCAAGTTTTAAATTATAAATTAAAATATATTAACAGAAACCTATAAGTATTACCTTAAAAAATATAATCTTTAATTTTTAAACTTATTTTATATACTTTTACAAAGATAATATTTATTATTTAAGTACAAATTTATTTTATCAGAATGTTTTTTTAAAAATATTTTAGGACTTATCTATTTATCATTATTGTAGTTAATTAGGTACAACAGTCTTATTTAATTTATATGTTTGCAAGAATACATATTATAATTAGTGCCATATGAAATATACTAAAATTTTGATTTTCATATGTTTTTATGTGATTAATTATTAATATTTTTTTTATTTTTATAGTACAACAATGATTATAAGCAATTTCCTGATGTCACTCAAGTGAACATAGTATCACCTATTCATCCCATTCATGGGTGTGTACCTATAATTATTATTAGTCGTGTCACACTTCATAAAAGCTTAATAATGGTATTATAATACTGGTATTCATTGAAATATTTTCAGAAAAACATCAGAATTAGATATTCCAGCTCAGGACACTGAATACATACAAATATTCAAACCACCGCCGCCTTATCCAATTAGTTATAGCACACCTGATTTAGCAAGAGCGTGTCCATTAGGGTATATTCAAAATGCAGTAAGTTTTTATTTAATTTACTCCTTTAGTTTTTTAATAATATATGTTTTATATAATTGAGATTTATATATATTTATTACTTTCTAGGTAAGTGGTTCAAGTCCTGATCTTTTGTCATCTAGAGGTCATAATTGCCAGATTATTCCAAACCGTTACAACGCTTCTCATATGTTGACAAATTCCGATACACACAGGACTTACACAAATTTGAACGCTTTGCTTGAACCAAAAAAGGTTTATTTTTTTTTCTAAAAACTTTTTTAGTTCAGTAAATAGTTATCACTTATCTGTTTTTATTAAAGAATTTAGATGAATTTCGCACGGGTTTTAATGGAAACAATATGATGTACTATATGGGTCAACATGGTCCTATTTTAAATCAACCAATAACTAGTGTGATCGTAAACGAAAGGCCACATAATTGCAGTGCAGGTAAGTTTTTACTTTATGAAATAACTAACCACGACGGAATATCTAGGTATAATTTTTAATAAAATAAAATCCAGTTGCAATATACAATAAAATGTTCTCATTTAATAATATAAAGTTACTACTTCATAATTGTTTTTGAAATGGTTATTTATTTTCATATAATTGAATGAGATAAAGTTAAAAATGACCAAAATGATTTATGTCAACCTTTGTTGGAATTTTTCACTCAGTAATTAATAATAAACATAATAACAGTTGATCACATAATATTATATTAAACAACATTATATGGAGTGTCCCAAAAGTCTTTTATTACCCTAATTATCTCCAAGGCAAATATTGAACTGTGGTTTTTTCAATAGTTAAATTGGAATGTTCTTATAGATTACTGATGAACATTATATTTAATAAACTGAGATACATGTGATGATACAGAATATTTGGGACACACCTTATATTTAATTATTAAAGACTTATATCACAACATAAACGACAATGATTTTCGAATAAAATTACTATATGGTATTTACCAGAAAATTACATTAATAGACTGGATTTTCAGTTAATAATACATTTTTCTTACTACAAACTCCAAACTTCGTTAGCATGATCAAAAATTTCTAATTCGTTGATAATTTAATAGTTCTAGGTAAATGTACTGAACCTATTTATGAAAACGTACCGTTGCCGTGGAATTCTAAAGATGTTCGAAGTCGTGCAGCTGGTGCACAAGGAGCTTCTGAAATCAAATCACCTATTGGTAAGGTGCCTCATCAAGTGCAGCCAGTAAAGGAAGAGATTATTGTGGAAAAACCAAAACACGAAGTTACGCCAATAAAAAACAACACTTTGGATATGAGCAGTAGTTCTAATCTATCATCACAAGTAGTTTCAACATCAATTATTCATTCAGCAGAACAGTCCTTTGGTAAATATAATATTATTATTAAATTCTAGACAGTAGTATATTTATGTGAATTAAATAGAAATTTACCTCTCTTATTTCCTGTTATAATTTTTAGATTCTTCAAATCAAAGTAGTAGCAGTGGAACATTGAAAAAGGAAGGAAGGAGTAAAAATCGCCGAAAGTGGGCAGGTTTGTTGAGTGGTGCAGTGAAAAGCAAGACTTTGAACAGAAATGGTGACATAAGTGTAGAGGAATTTAACAAACGTCATTCTACTGTTCCACGACTTCCTATACCTTCAACTATTTCTAAAGACACTATGGTATTTACTACGTAGAATGTAGATTATAATTAGCTTATATTTTTACAACTACAACCAATTCTAATTTTTTTTTTACAATTTTAGTGCCAAATCTTAGAGCATAAATTAGAGGACGCACAGTTATTTCACGAATTTGATAAAATTACAAAACTTAAACCAAATGCAGAATTTTCTACAGCTTTTGTATTAGAAAATTATTCAAGGAATAGGTATGTATTCTGAATATTTTTTTTTTTTGATGATTACATATTCATAATCATATTTACATAGGCACAAGGATATTCTACCTTATGAAGAAAATCGCGTTCGTCTATCACCGAGTAAAGAAAATCGATTTGGATATATCAACGCATCTCATATTACCGTGAGTTAAATTATTTTGTATTTTCAATAATTATCAGTTAAATAATTAATTTTTAAATTTTGAATTCTTATGTTTTCAGGCATCAGTGGGAAACGAACAAAGATTTTACATAGCTACACAGACACCATTGCCAAGTACGGTGAATCATTTTTGGCAAATGGTATGGGAGGCGGGAGTACACCTTGTCCTTGATTTGTCCCTACCCAAAATCAATTCTATAGATGACAATTATGGAAAATACTTTCCAACAGTTGCTGATCATTCTGTACAATTTGGGGAGGTAAGTGAATTATTTTTTTCAACCTTATTAATTATTAATACTTAATGTTGCAACTGGTTAATTCTATCAACTCTTATTTTAGTATCATGTGTGGCTGCAATTTACACAGGAGACTGGTCATTGTGTCACTAGTAAATTAAAATTGCAACACAACTCATCTAGAAGATCAAGAAGTGTTTGGCATTTACGGTATGATCAATGGGTAGAGCAGGATTGTCCGACAGACGTTTCACATTTTCTTGGTTAGTGATAGTCATTAGTAGAATTAAGAAGACTAGAATAAGGAGACTATAATCCGTTTAGAAAAAAAACATCCCATAAAGAGTTACACAATTAAACGGCCACAATCTGTGCATGGTCAGATTCGTTCTTACTTTAAACTGCACGGTATAGGAATTATTTGTGTTGTCATTACTTATTTGTGTAAATCATTAAATTTAACAATCCATTGTTAATTGTTATTTCATCTGGATAAATTAGTATGACATAATAATACAATTTTGAATATATAATATATATTCTGTTCACCGTATTGATGCAATATTGTTTTTGATTTAATTTTACACAATATGAATAATAAAATATAGATGAAGACAAGTACATACATGTTACACAACTTATTATGTAATGGAGTATGGTTAAAAATATTACCTGTGTTTTCCAAAAAAATTTTGAAAAACATAAATAATTCCAATATTTCAAGGGTAAAGGAGCAACATATGTTTCTGTATGTTGTGGCTGTTTAACTGTGCGTCTCATCTCATGGTTTTTTAAGTAGGAGGTTTGGTCTCCTAAATCTAGTTTGTTGAGTAGCATACACAGTTCAAATAACTAAAATATGTATTTATTGTCACTAGGTTTCTTGGAAGAAATGAGTTCAGTGCGTGAACACACAATAACAGAAATACCAACTGGACAAAATCGTAATCCACCGATTCTTGTCCATTGTAGTACAGGAGTGGGTAGAACTGGCCTTACAGTATTAACTGATCTTCTACTATATACACTAGATCACAATCAGGTATAAGTTAATTTTGAAATTGAGATAATATAATTATTATGCCTTATATTTTCTTATGTAAGCGATAATGAAAATAAAAATCTGTAGATTATTATTTTATTCTAAAAACTTAATTGGAAATGTCAATAACTAATAAAATCAGATTATATGTCCTAATTTATTGTACTATGGTAAAATAATTATTAATTAATGTGTTTTTTTTATAGGAATTGGACATACCTAAAACCATATTACTGGCTCGACACCAGCGCATGTTGTTTGTGGAAACAGTTGCTCAATACAAATTTATACATTCATTGCTCATTTACTATTTGAAAAATTCACGTCTCATTTAGTCAAAATTATGAGTACAGTATGATTGTTATGCTCAAAATACCAGTAAACAATACAGGGTCAACATGTTAAATATTGATTAAATATATAAGTTTGTGTGTGTGCATGTGTGTGTACCCAAATTAGAAATAGAAAATGACATCCATAAAAGAACAAAACATTTTACAGTATTTTATAATAGTGCAAATAATACAATCAATATTAAAAACAAATACAAATATTATGTTTATATTTATTTTTATTGATTTCAGTAATTTTTTTTATAATGAATTTAGTTCATTAACAAATATTTTATTCCTTTAACAGTAGTAATGTACTTGTTTTATTTTACAAAAAATGTTTGTTACATTAACTTAGTATTACATATTATTATTGTTTAATTTCAGTATACTAAGAAATAAGAATATAATTCTTAATTTTATAAGTCAATGTCTTAAGGGCATACATCAAGTATTAAATCCTTACAAATGTTAAGAAATTAGATTTTAATTATAAATTATTGTTTACGACCTAACATGCACTATGTATTTTTAATTATCTTTAAATGAAGTATTATATATTATTTATTATTTATATATGTTATGTAACAGTAACATGCATTTATCATGATGCCGGTCATGATTATGTACGCCCCTAGTGGTCAGTTATATTATTGAAAGAAAATCATTAATTTTATTCTTTAAGAACAAATTTTTTATATTTTACTACTATTTCGGTATTAATAATTTAATTATTGTTAAATGTTGATTTGTCGATACTATACATTTGTTATAATTATTTAACTTTGTTAACAGCATAATATTTTATACAAATAAATGATGATTTTTGTAACATTACTCAACAATAACCAAAGTCTTGCATAATTCAAAAAAATCTTACAACATTTAAATCTAGTGTAGAGGAGCCGTTCACCATCCAACACGACCATTTGCTTGAAACAAATTAGGGCTGGCTGCTGAGTGTCGGTTCACCATTATATATGCGTTCAACAGTCTTCATACAATCATACAACACCTAACATTGATGGACACTACTGCTATAACAGTAATTTACAATTTTGGTGTTAGGTGTCATGACTGCTATAGCAGTAATATGAAACATTTCATATTATGGCGTTACTGTTATAGCTGTACTAATTCTAATGGTATTAAATGAAAGTAGACATCAGGCTGCCGCATCGTGTTAGGTTAGATAATTGGGCACCGACATATTTTATATGGAATATGGATTATATTATATTATATATTTTCATGTTTTATATTTTGTTACTGCTACAGCAGTAATAAAAAGTGCAGTGAAATATAAAAGCAGGTTATGGGAATTTAGATAAATAAAAACTGTCCGTCAATGTGTTAAATACTGTAAAAAGTGTACCGTGGTAGGCAGTTGCCTTCTCTATACTTATATGTACGCACGCACTAATTGCGTCGTTATGCAGCTGATTAACTGGAGTCTGGCAGTGGCGACTACGGACAAGGATTGACTTGGTAGGTATTAACCCTAACCTATTTATAACTACTTTTTTGTGTTATTACAGTAGTTATAACTATGACATGGCAATGTACTCTTAAATACGTGTTATATAAATATAACTACTGGTATTAAAATGTAAAATATTTCAAAATTAATAAATAAAAATGTAAGTAGGTACATTTGTGCAAGTGGTGTTGTAAAAAGTATTTAAAAAAACAAGACAACTAAATATATAGATATTAGAATATTAGATAGTACTAAGCACAACTAGGGAGATTTTTCTGGGGGGCTAGAATTGTATCAGCAGCACAGATTATGATAATTGATATTTTAAAATTTAAAGAAATATTTGATTAAAAACTAGGGGAGGGGGGCTAAGCTCACCTAACCACCCTATTTGCGCCTATGCATAGTATTTATCTTGTTCGATAATATTATTGTAAGTGTCGGTCGTGGTGTGGCCATACCTACATGTTTTTATTTCTTTTTTAAACTGGATCTTTTTGTGGAGTCTTGACCAACATCCGCCACCCTAGACTTCACGTGTTACCTTTTCCAAAGCCAGACGCTCTTGACTCCGTGTTCTGGAAAGTCACCTTCTCAATCCTGCCAGAGTCTGCCTCAATGCTACAAGGTCCCCTCTCATCTGTTGGTCACATTTTCCTCATCGAGTGTAAGGATCTCCTCGAGGGACGTGTACAAGATCTTGTACGACTCCTCCACCCATAGGCTTGAGGGGGATTTCGGAAGCCCCCCAAAAATTTCAATAGCTCCCCACATTTCCTAAATTTTGTTTAAGCTTATTCAATATTATTAGAGTAAAGCTTCAGCAACCTTAAATCTCAAAAGCTATTCCCTCCTATGCCTATGCCTCGTGCAGAACATGTCCACCCAGGTCGGTCGGGATGCCCTCAAAGTAAGCCCCCACAGTAGGTTAGGCAGGTCTGTCATCATTAGAGAACTGCTGAAATGTGCTTGGAGACGGGAGAGCTAATTTCTGTTATACGGGCACAATAGAGTTTACTTAGCTGTGTTCTATTATATAGGTAGCTATATATAGGTATGGCATAAGACTTGAGAGTTTCCACATAGATGGAAACTAACATGGACATAATATTATTAATAGAAATATTGAGTTATATAAGATAAGTAGCTTTATAATAGTAAATTAATGCATTGATAATTGACTGCCTAGGCTGTAGGCTCTACATATAATAATAGGTCACCTTTTGCAACTCATTTGTCAATGATAAAATAAAGGATGAAAAATTCATATTCACATATTATCATTTATTAGTAGCAAAATGGCGGCGGCATACCTGTACATGTGCTCTTGGGTACAGACTACGAGATTGTCCATTTTAAACCATTTTAAGACCGTGGGAGGTGTTTGTGGTAATGGGGTTTAGTAAGTTTTCACACGAAAATTTATTCAGACTTAGGACTGACAACTTAAACGTAGTTGGTCTAAATATATAATAAAACTTAATAATATAATGTGTAGGACGTAGGTATATGGTCCACATATTATTTGTACTTTCGCTAGGGCTCTTTAAGAACAGGTAAAGACAGCCGCTATTTTCTTTCCAATTGCAATTAATAGTTAATACAGAATTTATTATAATACAAATTTATCAATTTATCTATTTATCAAAACAAGTACGTCTATGAAAAATCGTTAATAATCGTTCAAATATATATTTTCCTACCTTTATTCATTAATTACCTAAATTCAATTTCACAAAACAAATTCAATAAATACATGACTAGCAATTATCATTTATCAGCTTTGGAAAGAAAATGGCCTCTGTCCTTACCCGTGTCTATTAGAGCCTTACGCTAGCGTTTATAGTAAGACTTGTATCAGAACTAGCACTAGCCAAAATACTAGGGGGAAACTATATCAATAACAAAATATCATATTACAACTTAAAAATAATTATACCGTATATCGGTATCATTATGTGAAGGGTTTGAGCTTTCGCAATAAGCCAAATAAAATTTAATTTTTTCAATAACTATTATTATAATTATTTTAATTATTGTATACCTGCTTATACAGATAATATTTGGACCATATCAACACATTATATTATTAATTTTTATTGTATATTTGGACTAGATTCAATTAAAAAATTGACTGTACTTTTTTTATGCAACACAAAAACAAACAAATTTTAACCAAACCAACCACATTTAAGTTGTCTGTCCGTAGCACTACGTACCATGACCGGCGCTCACTAACTGGTCTCAAATAAAAACTTATGGAACTCAATGTCCATCGAAACCCTCCAAGACGAAGCACTCCACCCGTTAAAGAACCTTGCTCACGCATTTTCAAGGAGCAAATATCCTCACTTTACTACTCAACAACTGCAGGGAAAACTAGAAAAATTAGAAAGTCAGTACGATAACTTGTAAATGACACAGATACTAAAAAAAAACGAAAATTAATTTTTCAAAAACTTGAGAGTTGAGATGCTCAATTCGTTGGTTAGTATTTTAAAAGTTACTAGAAACAGTAAAAATGTTTTGTTTTTAAGAAACCTTCACAATATTAACTTCTTAGGTTAAAATAATAAATTGAATTATGTAGGTATATTTTACGTGGAACATCTTAAGCTATCTCTAAAAAAAATCGTCCTAAATGTGACTGCGATCAAAGAGTTTTATGCTGATTACACGAAGCCTGATGGATTGGTGGAAAGAACAACAGTTTATCCTAAACCAGAGTATTTTAATAAAACATTTGTCAGGAAGTATACAAAAATAGACAAGTTGTTGAGTTATAGAAACAACATTTAGGTACTGCTAAGGAACTGCAAAACTATAAAATATACGGTCGGTGGTGACTGATGACAGAGGTGTAGCCAAAAGTTTAAAATGGTGGGGAGGGGGGGGGGTAAAGTCAAAATAAAATACTCAACAATTAACAATAATAATTTATTTTTATGCTGTTTCAATGTTTTGATACATCCCTGACTGGGGATTATTTGAAAAGTGCCATTTTAAGAATATTCAGATAAATCATTTATCTAAAAACGTTTATGATTTTATATATTTTTATAGCAGTTTTATTGAGATTTATCGTATTTTTATGTATAGACACCAAACGGTTGGCTATAATTTGAGGGTAATTAAATGGAAAATTTAAAAGTAAATTAAAATAGTTTCATTACTACATATAATGTTAGGTATTAGGTTTGTATGTTGTATAATGACTAATTAGTAAATTATCATAATATGTAACTATAATAATATTAATAATAATATATAGGTAATAGGTAAGTACCTACATTCTTTATAATATAAACAATCAATGTGTTACACACGTGACACGGTAATGCGGTATGTGGTTATGTCATCATAGTATATACCTATTATAACTATATAAAAACCAATTATAAATTATTCTAGTCATGGGGAGGGGCATTCGCCCCCACTCCATCCTCAAATACGCCACTCCTTTATATACTATAATAATTAATAATTAATTAATATATGGTCCAGAGATATCTGGAGAGCCAAG